TTGGTTGCCGTTGTCGGGGAACATATCGGAGAAGAAGGGGGTGAAATTTTTATTTTTATTTATTTAGGTGATTTTTGGATAACAAGTGGGAAGGGATAAGGGATTTGTGGTGAAATTGGGGGGAAAATCCGTCTTTTATAGAGGTAGGTTTATCCGTTACTGTTCTGTACAACTGTAAAAATATCATATAATAGTCTAACGTACTGGCATAAAATTATGGTCCATATATATATATTTATAATTGTAAAAGGTTATCACACTGGGAATGCAAGCCATAGTGGTCCGAGAGCCCTAATATCTATAAAAGATCATGGGTTCGAAAACGGAAAGAAACACAAAAAGTATGTAAAAGTAAGAAAAATAATAAGTATAAAAGGCTGCATCTTTTTGTTAATCTAGTTAATAATAATATGCATGCAAAGCTACTACTTAGCAATTATAATAACTAAGATAAAAATTTACGTAAAATGAGTATGTAATATCAACATGGATCAAACAAAGAAACATCAACATGAATAAACAAAAGATGATAGTAGTAAATTCACAAGTAAGAGAACTTTCACCGTTGTTTTTGAGGTATATATAGTAAATGTTTGAGTTTCTGTTATAGAGGATCCCAAATATGGGCAACTATAGAGCATACTCCTCGAAACATTTAGAAGTAGATAGTATTATTTGTTATAAATTTTTAGAAGTAGGTATAAATATACCTGACTGAAAACTGGTGCTGATAACGTGTTAAATGTTTACCGATAGAAAGTCTTTAATCAGTGAAAGGAGAAAGTGAAGGAGAAGAAGTAAAGAGGATGAGTGAAATTGTAGTCTGTTATTATTATTGCCTCATATGACACCCTATATATATAGCTAATACTTCTATACTAAGAGTACAATTCAATCATGCTCATATATTGCCATATAAGTTCACAAGGGTTGGACTTATATGTGCATTGCAACATCAAATCAATGATTGGCATTCACATTGTCTTCTAACATGAGTGACTTTTATTGGTGCACATATTCTTATATGTGGCCAGCTACACCATTCGTTGATGGCATCTACCAAAAAAAAATGTAATTATGGGCCAAAAAAAGTAAAATCCTAAAATATGAGTTTAAGTTATAATTTTAGAACGGCCTAATAATGCCCCAAAATAGTGGATTTGGAAAAATATTTTTTGGACTGATCTTGTGCTTGGCCTAGAACTTTTGGCTTGAGATGAGCCAAAAAATTATTAGTTCAGCCCGTCCCATGATCAAGCTACTCAACGGCGGACCTAATTATTTTACTTTCTTTTACATATTAGTAATAAATATAGTCAAAGTTAGTTTATAAACTGTACAAAAAGTAAAGATATTGCATGTATTGAGAATTAAATAATTTACTATTAATATTTTCAATTATCGATATAAAAATACATTAGCTGTGAAGATAGATAATTAAAAATGAGGGGTCGTTTGGTTTGCACAGGGTAATCGGAATGGAATGAACAAAGGGAATGAAAGAGAATGGAATGAAACCCTTTCTATGTAGTATGTTGTTTGTTTTGTAAAACAAAGGGAATCACCACCACCACCACACAACCCCTCTTCCCCACTTTTCCAGCCACTCCACCGCCCAGCCACCACCTCACTGAAACTCGCCACCCGTATTCGCACCTCCCCCACCCTCTACCGCCCGTATTCGCACATCCCCTACCCCTCACCGCCCATATTCGCACATCCCCCACCCCTCGCCGTCCCCTGAAAACCGTCTGCCTTCGTGGCTTGTGTCGGAAATCGCGAACTTGCTGCTCCTCGTGGCTTGTGTCGGAATCTTGGGCGGCGGAGAGGATGAGTTTGCGTGGGCTGGCTTAGTGGCTTGGGTAGGAGGATGATTTTCTAGGGTTTGCGTGGGCGGGGGAAGGTTTTCCATGGAGGGGAGGGGGAGGTGCGACGGGTTTCGGCGAGGAAAAGGGGAGGTGCGACGGGTTCCGGCGAGGAGAGGGGGAGGTGCAGCGAGTTCCGGCGAGGTGGCTGGGCGGTAGGGGTAACTAGGTAAGGTAGTGGCTGGTGTGGATATGATGGTGTAGTGGTGGCTGGGGAAAGGGAATGCAAAAGTCTAGGGGGGCTGGGGAATCAATTTAGAAGGATTTTGGGTAAACTCAAAAATAAAAATGGGTAAAGGGAATGAAAAAAATGACAAACTAACAACAACAAAGGGAATGAGCCATGTTCATTCCCTTTCCCTTTGATTATTAACCCCAACCAAACGGCCCCTGAGTGTTTAGTAAGTAGTTGTTGACTAGTTGTTAACATATTTCCTCATAAAAGTATATAATAACCTTTTCAAAAGCTACCTCAACCATTACTTTGCCAAACGCTCAATTTTTTTATTTTTTTTTTTTTATTTTTTTTTTTTGTAGTGATTTGACTACTAAAAGCTACTCAAAATTTAGTGCCATTTTGTTTTTTTATTTTTAATCTATATCAATAGACTAATAGGTCAAAGTGTAATATGTAAATTTATTACTCCTGTATTTTTTTTACTAAGTTCATCAGATCATTTTGACTTTTGCTTTATTCATAAACTAACTTTGACTATATATTATAATTAACATATAAATTAATTGCTATTATATAAAATGTTATTAGATTGACCACAATGCAAATTTAAATATAACTTTTTATATGGTTTTGCTAATTAGATAATAAAATGTATCAATGGTTAAACGAATTGAACATTGACATATATGTCCGTCAAAGTAACATACTTTTTTAGTTATTTAAAGTGGAATGAGTATGTACAATTAAACGAAAATAGACGAAGTAGTTCAACAATTGAAGAAGAGTAAATCAGGGGAGGAAAGTAATCAAAGAAAATTTTTGGTAGAAAAGTGAAAGACTCGCTTAGAAAAAGGTTCAAACATCATAATCATCTTCACCAGCATAATGTTCAAGTTTGTCACTTTTACCACGACAAACTGATTGGCAAATTTATCCTTTTTTTAGCACAAAAAATTCCCCTTTTTTTATTCTTGTCCTTTTTATTCCATTGTTGAATCTTTTCTTGTTTTTTTTTCGTTGAGTGAACAGGTTAAATAGGTCCTAATTTTCAAAAGTAATATAATTCCTCCGTTTCAATTTAGTTGACATACTTTTTTTAGAAACGTTTGTTAACATAAACTTTCAATTATAAATATTTCTAAACACTTGTAATAAAAAAAATTAAAAAATTCGAGATATAATTTTTTTTTTGAAGAAACTATATTTTTTTTCTTAAACTTATGTGAATATGCCTGAATTTAAAACGTATCAACTAAAGATAAATGGAGGAAATATGTATATATTCAGTAAAACATGATGTTACAAGCTTAAGATTTAGATTCTAGAGGCATATATTATATAATGTGTGACATCAATTTGGACCAAACAGCAAAAAGGATACTCTTTGGATTAATTATAAAAACATTATAATATATATATATGCACCACATAAAGATAAAGTTAAGTGCTACTGATTTTGTTATATTCCTATAGACTAAAAACTAAAAAGCATATAATATAATACAACTGCATGAAAAAATTGTAACTTTATATATTTGTGCTTTTTATATCTTTGATCAAAGTATATGTGCTTATTAACATGCTTAATAGGCGCATGCATGCTTTGATTTGGTGTGTTTCTCACTCTTTAGAACATCTTCCAACCAAATTAAAGACCATGCGCCTGTTCTTCCACTATTATACCCTTTACTAATCTTATAGACAAGATGAACAACTTAATTATGGATCGGATGGAGTATTATACATTACAGGCAAGCATTGTACCTAGGGTTACGGTGTTTTATTAGTGTGTATGACATATGTCAATGTGATATATGGCTCAAAGTACACACTTTACTTGTTAGCGAGTTTGGTGTACTAGTGTATAAGTAAGTGTTAGCTCATTTGGTAAGTTTCTCACCTAATGTCGTAAAGGTTTGGGGTTTGAATGCTACCAAGTGAGTGGGGGTTAGAGATTCTCTTACTGTCCCCTAACTTTTAAGTATCTAGCCCACAATTACTAGACCATAAAAAACTGTGAAGTCTAGTCAAGATCATCTTTACCATAAAGTCTACTTTTTATAATGTTTTATTAAGAGAACTAGTTTATGGCTCAAATGATGCCTCGTGTAATGTTGAAATACAAAATGAAAAAATTGCTTTGAGTTTAAATAATATCTTGGAACCATTACCCTTAAGTTTAAATAACAAAATAAAAATGGAAAAATTAGTTGGGAATACAAAGAGAGATGCAATAGTATTTGATTTACAATTAAGTTGGGAATTGCATATAATACTTAAAAACTTTTAAATCCTTAATGAAAAGTTACAACTCATGAATGTTAATTAAGCAATAAAGTGACATTAATCGTGGAATAGAAACAACAAATACAATAGAGTAAAAATGAATTTTATTCATGGTAAATCAAAGTGGAATAATTGTCTAATTGATATAACAGTGGTAATATAAGGTTGGAATTTCAAAGGGATGTAATGGTTCAAATCCAATCAAAATATTAATATGTGGTGTCATGTCATCATCTATTTCGTGCTATGTCATAAATTTTATGATGACATAAGAGTAACACATGTCCTCAACATGTTGTCCCCTTGAGTTTTAATAATATTATAAACATAGGTGTTATGCATTGCTTTTCTTCGAATCATAATAATTTTCTTACTTTTGACATTAATAATCTTAAGCCTATAAATTTTTGAGCTCTTACTATCTTCAATGAGGTAAGAATAAAATGAATATGTAATTTTGTAATTTTGGTGTTTGTTCTTTATGAAAATGGGGCAATCTTGGTAAGATGAGCACATAATAGTTTAGACCTTCACAAAAGGCAAAAATTAGCTCCAAGAACAATCATAAAATCTTGATCACATACTTCGTATTAAGTAACCCAGCAAAATGCTCATCCCTAAGCTCAATCGAAACAAGCTAGCTAGCACACTAAATCAAGACGATTCTTAGATCGCAATTAAAAGATGCTACAATTACATTTATGTATTTCAATAACTATAATGCAAGCTAAAAAAAATTTATTTTTTTTTTGGGGGGGGGGGGGGGGGGGGGGGGCGGGGCGGGGGAAAGGTGAGGATCTATGAAGCCATCATTAGACGTGATCAACTCCATTGTGATTCCTCCGATTACAACAATCTCAAGCTTTTGGAGAATCTCCCAATAACACAATTATTCGAGCTGATGGAACAACTCGAAGAAAAAATATTTGATCAAATTCAAATGAATTAGCAAGGGCGGTGCTTACCAGAATTCAAGGGAGAGTCCCTAATATTTCTAATCTGAAGGGGGTGGGAGGACATATTAAGGACATGTCCATCAGATTTCTTCCTTCGTCTTCCTGGTTGAGATAATCGTGATTGATATGATATTATGGCCATGTCGTTGAGGTCAAGCAACGGGATGAGGACCTTGACAATTTCATCCATTGAAGGGCGGGATTTAGGGTCTCGGTTAAGGCAGCTATAAGACAACTGAGAGACCTTTTGCACACCTTTAAGAGAATAGTTCAGTTCTAAACGAGGATCAACAATTTGATATAGCTTCCTCTTGTCAGTTAAATATGGTCGAGCCCAAGTCACAAGATTCTGCTCACCACTAGGGCGTTTCTTGTCCATTGATCTCCTCCCAGTTAGGATCTCAAGTAGCACTACACCAAAGCTGTAAACGTCACTCTTAGATGTCAAGTGCCCTAAACAGAGAAATGAAAGCAAATTAGAATAAATTTGGTCCCAAAAGTATTTCTATTGTTCTTTCTTTTCTCATTTTAGGCTATAGTTCCGATAAATTACAAGAAATGCAAAGAGGGGGATGGCAATTGCTGAGACCCGTGTATGCATCACCTTTAATTCAGAAAAGAAATTGCCAAGCAAATTTCAGCTGCATTAAATCCTATAAGGTACACATATAACAAACAGTTTGAACCCTTGAAAAAATCCAAGTCGTTTGTTAACTTTTTATACAGGACAACTCTTAATTCCTATCAATTCAAAGGTTAGTAATTTGTATTCCATATTACATGTATCTGTGTTAAAATGATCAATACAGACATGTCAATTCAAAATGGCAACGTAAAATACTTGAAATTCAGATACAAATGCAATAACTTCCTAAATTTATGAGCAATATCTCGGGTTAAAGAATGTGTACCTGTCATCACGTATTCTGGTGCAGCATAACCATAAGTTCCTACCACTCTTGTAGAAACATGGGTGTTATCCCCCTGGGGCCCAGCTTTAGCAAGACCAAAATCTGAAAGCTTTGCATTGAACTCCTTAAAAATGCAAAACTTAAATGTTAGCGCTGTAGTGGACTAGTGGTATAGATTAACAGAAAGAAAATCAAGTTAGTTACTCAAAAAAGTTCAATACAATACCGTATCAAGCAAAATATTCGAGGTCTTAAAATCTCTATAAATGACAGGCTCCCCGTTCCCATGAAGAAACGCCAATCCTTTAGCCGCTCCAAGGGCAATCTTCATTCGGCAGGGCCACGACAGAGGCATAGTTCCTTCAAAGAATGATAAACGCATAAACTATTAGGTTAGTCAACCTATTAGTTAAGCAACTTCAGTTCATATTTTAATTTACAATACCAAGAACATACTATAATACAAGAAAAGTCAAAACCAAGTTAGAAGAGCCTAAAAGTCGGCAGCAATTCAGCTAACATGGTCAATTTACTCAACAAACACAAAGGACATGACACTTGACATCCTAACAAAAATGCCTAATAATCATGTGTTAGAACACCCAATAATTGAGAGAAAACATACTTCGAAAGAGATGGTTTTCGAGACTTCCACGAGTCATAAACTCGTACACAAGAAGTCTCTGATCATCCTCACTACAATACCCAATAAGCTTAACAAGATTCGGATGATGGAGTTGCCCAAGAAAGTCAACTTCAGCCTACAATCAACATCAAACATTTTGTATTAAGCACACTACATTATGCAAATCACTTTCAAAATGCACCTACTAAACCTTATTAAACCAACACTAACCACCCATTCTCTATGTCCTTGTAAACCATCAGGCTTCAGACTTTTGACAGCAACAGTAATTCCGGTCCCCGGTTTAGCAGGTGATGTACTGTTCTCTTCTATCCACCCCTTAAATACAAACCCGAAACCACCCTCCCCGAGTATGCTATCAGGCCTAAAGTTCCCGGTGGCGGATTTTAATTCCTGAAATGTAAACTGCAGGAGTTGAGGAGGGGGTTTGGTTTCTGAAGGTGGTGGATCAGGAGGCTCAATAGGAAGTTGAACATCATCATTTGGTACACACATTTCCCTATTACTAGCATTCAAATACCTGGTTTCAGCAGCTGCAATACACAATCACAAAAAATTAAATAAATTCTCAAACTACATTTTCATCAGGTAGTCATATAAACAGCATTTATTAAAAATCAAGGCAAAAATAAATGAAATTGATATTTCTTAAAATATCAGAACATGACCCAAATACAGTAAATTTCACCATAATAATCATATCATATAATTTGCATTTATTAAAAAACAGGCCAAAAAGAAGTGAAAATGATAATTCTACTTCAGTACAAGATTACCCAATTTCAAAAAATAACTGCAAATGACCCAAAGATGGTAAGTTTAAGAATTTCCAAAAATTGGACATTAATACAGTTATACTTTATAAAGGGTGAAAATTGACATACCCCATTTCAAGATTACCACTTTTAACCAATTTCTGACTTATTTGGGTTATAAATTTTGGATCTTTTTGAATTTAAGCAGTTTGATGATCAAAATTGAGCAAATTTACTCAATCCTTCCCATGTTTAGAAATTTGAAAAAATAAAAAACAAAAACAGTAACAATAAGAAAGACAACAACTTTGCACAGAATTACAGCAACTTCAAAAACCCAGAAAAGGAATATACCCAGAAATTTAATAAACCCAGTGATCATCAAACACCCCAGAAAAAGTTATTAAAAAAAACACACACACAATTAAGAGAAATTAATTAAAAAAAAAAAAAAAAACCTGCATCATAAACAAGGCTAGAACGAGGGATGGAATTAGCAGAATTTTTGGAATTAGGAGAAGGTTTGCAAGAACTTGAAACATTCCTGCGCAAAACTGCCCAGCAACCACACTTCTTCTTCTTCTCCATTTTTATTCTTTAAATTAAATTCTTTCACTCTTTTTTTTTTTTTTGGGGGAGAATTTTTGGTCTGAAAATTCTAATTGGATGTGACTTTCATGGGGTAGTTATGTATCAGTAAAATTGCAGGGGAAGAAAGAGGAGAGAGAAATAGAAAAAAGAGGGAAAAGGAAGGAGTAATTGTATGAGAAAGAGAGATTAAAAAATTAAAAAAAAAAAAAAAAAAAAAACAAAAAAAGAGTGAGAGAGAGAAAGGAATTGTTGTTGTTTGTTGGTGTTGGACATTGCAGGGTATCATCAATCATCACTTCATTTTGTTACCATAACTTTTTTTTTTCTAAAGTGGGATTAAAATAAATTGTGGAAGGTTATTGGAGATAAATAGTTTTCCGCCCATGTAATGATAGGGTATTTTAAAACATCAAGTTTATGTAATAGTATCAATATTTATCATAAGCAAATATTCCTATTATAAATTATTGGTAAAGTATCCCTGTTTGAATTATTTGATTTTATAAACGAAAATGATAAAAATTAAAATAAAATGAAAAAAAAGTATAAACGTTGCTTTTTAAGAAATAAGGAAAAACTAGTTAGGTAAAAATTAGTACAAATTAGGGTATAAAAAAAAGGTAGGATCAATGCTGAATAGTTAAGAAAGAGTAAATCATATTATTGACATTTTGAGTCATGCCTTATACTGTGCTTTCACGTTGACAATCTTGTTACATCAACACGATGTAAAACCCTCTTCTCATGCAACCGTATATTATGAGACATATATGATAGCTTAAGTGGCCTAACCTGCATACCTTTGTGCTAGCTAACTTTAGTAAACCTTTGCAATGAGGCGAATGAGACTAAGCCCCTATGCCTCATCTTTTAACTAACTATCGAACGTTAAAAGCATTGTGTTGTGTTTAGGTCCTTTTATGCTTAAAATTAGCTTTTATTATATCAGTATACATCTTTCTAAACTCATTTTAGCCCTACCTAGCAGTTTGGCACTCCTAACTAAATGGTAAAGCCTACTAGATGATGGATTTCAAGATCACCCAAGGATAAAAGGCATAGAGAAAAGGATTATGGTCAAATTTAGGATAAAGAGAGTCAGAAGCATATTTAGCCATATTTTAGTGCAATCCTATCTCATTGATTCCCCACCATCTTCAAATTTAAAATAATTGTAATTGCTTGCACAATTATATAAGTACAATTTAGCTTTTATATACAATATTAGAACTAAATGCATTCGATGTGTGCTTTACATATTAAAAAATATATTACTCCGTAAACAATATATTATATTATATTATATATGTATAAATATTGAATATATTAAAATTTAAAGGAAGATTAAAAAGTAAGGGTATTCCGTAAATAAATAAAAAAAAAGAAATAAAAGAGAGGGTATTTTAATCAATCTCCACTTTTTTACAAGAAAACTTATGATCATTTGATAAAGTTTAAGGGTTTTTTTTTTTTTTTTTTTTTTTTTTTTTTTTTTTTTTTGACATGAGCTATTTGATAAAGTTGATAGAAGGCTAATATTAATAAGCACTATTTTGTTTGCCTAAGTAGTTATAGACCTCTAGTATTTTGTGTTACAATTGTACGAGTATTAAAATATAGATCGAGTGTGGGTTGATTAGTAGATTTAGCACTAAAACTAAAGAAGTCATTGACTCATTGGCCATACAAAATTACAAATTTACAATGTCAAGTAATCTACAACACAACTCATTTTAGGGCAACCAGATTACATATCTAATTTGTCCTTCTTGATGGTTACCATTATATCTTAGCTGATATATTTTTAATTTAAACGCTATTCACTTGCCTTTTTAAAATATATATATAATCTACAATAGTTTTTTACACTATATACTTGAGATAAATTGTAATGACGTGAGAGTTTGTTAGATTTATATTAGTGTTTATTTTCAACATCAACTATTTACAAATTTTATTCATTGATGTTTCAAAAAAAAAAAAACAAAAATTATTCATTGATAATTAAAATATTGACAAATGACACAATAAACTTGTCAAATGAAAAAAATCGAAGGAAGAAATATTTTGCTAATTACATTTATTAATTAAAAATATTTAAGATGTATTGTTTCTAAACACATAAGCTGCTCTATTCTATAGGTTCTTTACACATAAATTAAAGTTGAGAAAATAAACTAAACAAGTCATGCAAACCATACTTCCATTTAATGGAGGCAAATAAATAGCCCATATCTTCTTTCATTTCTTTTTTCACAATCACATATTTGCACATACTCTTATCTATACATTTAATATGAATAATAGGTGGATTGGTGGGAGATCACATAATATAAGATTATTTTTGGCTCATTAGGTGTCTAATGTTACTTATTGAATCGATAAAAAACACTTATGCAAATTAGTTAAGTTGTACGTATTGTTAATTCTGGAGAGTGAAAAAGATGGAGTATTTTTTTTTCTTTTCCATCATTTTACACAAGGATTTGCGCCTAATTGTTACTTTGTTCGGTGCAATAGCACCGTTTTAACATAATATGAACTACCTCCTATATTATCTTTTTGTGAGGCATCACGTATATGTTTCTTATTTGATAACGGACAAGCTATTCTCCATATTTTACACTATATCCTTGGTATACAAGTCTTAGTTCTGATTAACATTGGGCATTTTGATCTGAGAATATCATTCATAATTTCAAAGAAAATTGTTACTAAACTACACAGATTATTTGTATTTTGCATAAAATCGACAAGGACATTATAGACAATTTTGGTCTAAAAAATCAAAGACCTTTTGCCTTTCAACTTGACTAGATAGTCCTTTGCTAGAAAAGAGTACGTGATACCATTTGCCCCCACTAAGTTTGTAGGCCCTTCTCACATGGGCTCTCACCATTTATGCAAAAAGGAGAGTAAAAAGGGTTTGATAGATTACTTAGATGATGAGTAGTTAGAATTTGAGTTGAATCACTTGCAAATTAAGCTATCTACATACACTAGGGAAAAATAAAATAAAAACAATGTCATAAAAAAACATCATTGTTCTTGATTAGATCATTTAGATGTAAGGGGAGAAAAAGTTCACTATCTAGGCCTATTATATTATTAGACATTCAAATGGACTGTTAATTAAGAAACAGATCTCGTCATCTAATGGATAAACTTATTAAAAACGTGTTACGTTGAGAAAAATCATATGTGACATAAAAGAGTGAGGTTAATAAAAAGAATGATACAGACTATTTACTAATTAGGATTACACCCCGAATAAATGTAAGTAGTTGTAGTAAGAATTAGGTAATTACTCGGCCAATTATATACATATAATTAGTTTATAATATGGGTTTTGACTCATTTTTCCAATGGGCAATATTGAACATGGATTGGAGTGTAACGATGGATAAAATATTTGGGGGTTGTCATTAATTGAGAAAAGTTATCTATTTGTTCTGGTAAAGTTTTTATTAATGATTATACATCGGTTAAACATGTTAGTATATTCATTTCTAAGGTAATGCAGCCTTATTAGGAGGAAGAAAAAAACAGTATAAGAACATTAAACGCATTTTCTAAAATGGTACAAGTTTAATTTATGGTAGAAACACGCATTGATTGGTGTACTTATACTTAATTACTTTAAAATTTCATTTTCTAGCTTTTTATGTGCAACTCAATTCAACACTTCCTTTTATCCATGAGTTTTTATGGCCTTCTTTTGTTACCAATACTTTCCAAGTGAAAATTCTTACCATGCACGCTTTGTCTTTAAACATGTAAGTATTGCGAATAAACTAATGGTTAATGCACTCAACTCAAAACAAAATTTTATGCTATGATGCGGTTCATGTTAATCTTAACCATTAGCCAATATGGTTTCAAAAAAAAAAAAAAAAAAAAAAAAAAAAAAAAAAACATTAACCAATATGACTCTTATCACGTATAAAATATTTTAATCGTTTGATCAACCCAGAATTATTGAACACAACACTTATGAAGTATTTTGTACTGTTTAACACAAAATTACTGGCACAAGTTTCTATACAGCTAGTAGACTTCAATATGTGATAGATTCAATCAAAGCTCTCTCACCTCAAGACTTATGAGGTGATACATCGTAATTCTTAATTGATTCAAATCACTTAACTATTATAATATAAGCCCCAAAGAAATAAAAATAAGCAAACCCTGCACATAATGAGCCAAGAAAAGGCAATGCACTGTCAAGCTCGTGCCTTTTTCAAAACTGGAACTCATACGCGACTCAACCTTCTTGTCTTTACATCATATCATGCTTCTTATGTCAAAACAAATCTTTTTTCGTGTTATATATATCATCGACCATCGTACCGGCCCGACCCATATCCAAAAACAACCGTCTCTACAAAGAAGCTCAAAGTGGAAATTCTTACTCCATCATCACCACACTAAACTCACCACGTCATTACTAGCAGAAATCTCAAGATAATATAAATTTTGTACATTTTTTTTTTTTTTTTTTTATTTTAAATCTGGGGAGAATCTTTTTCCACCATTTTTCTTCACTTTCACTTTTTAATCACACCATCTTTCTTTGCACCAACCAAACGCGGCGTTATCTCATTGCTTCTCCCAAAACAAGAGAGAAAAATTAATTTTTATATTTTGAACAACAACATCAACAAATGGTTGAAGCTAAAAACCTAATTTCGCCCCAAATTTCTCCTTCAATTTTCGATTTTTCCCTTAATTTGACTTGAAATCTTGAGCTTTAATCGCCAGAAATTTGGAGGAATTTGGGCGAATAATCGATAATTTGGGGATAAGTTTAATTTGGGTTTGATTATCGATAGTATTAGGGTTTTTTGCCACAACATGTCTGCAATAGTGTGTGGGAAGAGATCGTCAATTTTCGAGGAAATTCCATCGCCATCTTCGAAGCGAATTCGGTTTTCTTCATCTTCTTCTTCTCCGGTTCGATTTTCTGGTTCGCCTTTATTCTTGATTGATCATCTCATCGCCATTTTTCCTCATATGGACATGAAGGTTTCTTTTATTTTCTCTCTCCTTTGAATTTGCTATTAAATTTCTCTCTCTCTCTCTTTTTTTTTTAATATATATATAATGATTTCATTTTATTGAATTGAATTGATAGTTTATTTGATCTTTGATTTTAATTAAATAAATTAATATTTGGTTTAGTTTGTACTGTATAGATTATGTAGTACAAATTTTAGCGATATGTCTGAAGTGGAAATTTAATGTTGCAATTGAAATTGTTGGATGATTTTAATTTAATTAGCGATATGACTTGTGTAATGTTTTAGCTTTATTCTGGATTAATTCGATTTTGGTAGTCATTATTGAAGCGTGAGCCGAAATATTAGCAGTGTTTTTTTTATTGTAATTCATTGATCGACTTGGTGTCATTTCGTCTTTGATGGTATAAGGAGTAATTATTAATATGAGATCGCAGTTAAACGAATGGTTTTTGACTTGTTATTAGGAAGGACAATTCTCTATAGTACTACTGATTGAAAGTTTTATCGATGCACCTTGTAGATACTTGTTTCTCTAGAACTCATAAAACATGGTTAAACACTTAAACGTAAATCACAATGCACAAGGATGGTGATTGTTTCAGGAATTTTGTGTAAACTTTCTACTCAATCAGTTCTGTTTAAGCTTTCAAAGTTGTTAGTATTCTAGGTGTTTGGAAATATGTTTGATATTTCTTTGATATTTAATGGACCTATGATTTTGGAGAGGGGTATATTTTACAATGATAAAGTCAAATCTGTACTTAGGAAGGGATTTGCTCTTTGGAAGTGTGCATTTCTTGTTGAATGTATTATGAAGTTCCTGGTATTTGGGAGCTTGTGTCGGTTACTAACATTGAAATTATGGAGTATTAAGAGTGGTATAGCCACAATGCATAGGATATGTTTTTAGTTTATACTTCCTCCACTCCTTTTTACTTGCAACACTAAAAGTATCACGCTTGCCAATGCACAATTTAAACTATTAATATTTTTGGTTGCGTTTGTTTAAAATTTAAAGAAAAATAGATTTTAGTAAAGTACAAATTGAGACGATTCCAGCAAGACCCCACATGGCTACACATTTTTTTTTTCCTTAAATCACAATTTGATGTAATAAAAGAGGGTATGAATAGTGCCAAAATCGTAATGTTGCAAGTAAAATGGAGTAGAAGAAGTATGGTTTTTAGGATAGTAACCCTAAAGAAAATAGCTGTTGTTTCTTTTATAAGGAAATAATCTTTTTTTTAAGTATCAAATCATTTTTTTCTTATAATGGACAATCTTTTTTGTGGCCGTATCTCCACGGTATTGGATGGCTTGATTTATCCTAAAAGTTGATAGAGTCTTCATCTCCATCCTATGATAGTTGATGGAAGTGGGTTTAGATTACTGGATAACATTATGATTAGCAGCACAATGTCATCAGTTAACATTCTGAAGCGCTCCCATGGGGTATTATATCTATCTTCTGATGTAAAATAGTGCGATTTATTTCTTTTTCTTAATAATTTCTTTGCTTTTGCTTTTGTGGTGGCTCCTTGTCACCGTTTTTGGAGACCTAATCTTCAATTATTACCAATCCTTTACTCGACTCCGGCTTGGTGACCTAGGGGAGTATTGTGTGTCGTTCTGATTCGATACAGGATGCAACCTGTAAATGGTTCAGGCTAGGGATTCGTGATCCATTCCTTCTACTCATCTTGTCACAAAAAGGTGGCCAATTTCCTATCAAGAGGAAGGATTTTCAGTAATTTGTAAATTGGAGGGGCAAATGATGAAATTAAAAGAATTTATCTTGGGTGGTTTTTACACTCTATGTTCAGTTGACCATGTGATTGTTGAGTTGCCTTGTAAGTTGCTGCCTATCGAGTTGGGGGGGGGGGGGGGCTATGAGGCTGTTGTAAAGTAAAGCCTGCTCTTATCTATAATCGTTTTGCATCTTGTTCCTTGGGATGAAATCTGAATTTTTAATTCTAATATCTTTTTCATTATTTGACCTTTCCAGATCTCAGCGACCATTTTCAGGCTTTATGTGAAGCATTCCAATTTTATTTTCAGTGAGCTGTGTGGATGATTATTTATATTTTTGAGAGAAGAGGAACATGTTTGACAATCAATTTTGTGGCTATGTCTCCTTGGTTTTGAATGGCTGCATTTTATTCTCAAATTTGATGCTTTATTAGATGAGTCATCATCTCTGTATTAGAATTTTTTATTAAACAAAATTTAGAGTTATGGCAAACATTATGATGAGCTGCAAAATGTTGTCAGTTTTTAAAATTTTTCATTTGGTATTAGACCTACCATTTGATGTAAAATATTGTGCTTCTGAAGTCTGGTATCTGCTGTTTCTACTTTCAGTGCTTTTCTTTTTGTCGCTGCTATGTGTCACCTTTTTCTGATTTCTGGAGATTTGAGATCTTCACTATTATTATTATTTCTACCTGGCTATCTATATTTTAAATATCTGTTAAAATATTATTATATGAATAATGTAGTTATTTAATTTCACTTATGTGAATGTTGCTGCAGCTTATTGAGCAAGCACTTGAGAACAGTGGACATGATTTGGACTTGGCGATCAAAAGTTTGAATGACCTCCGATTAGGATCTGCTGATAATTTTCCAGGTACCACCACTACTTCAGACACCCACTCACAGCCAAACAATAAGCCACAAGGTAGGCATGGTATTATTGATAAGATTTTTCTTTATTTGGTGCTATTGTAATGATGCTGTATATCTTTTTGATATATGCAAAATCTTAAACATATTGCTCCTGTAGTTTTACCTTATAGATTTAGATTTTGAGTTTTCCTTCAGTTGCCCTGTTGGGAAAGTTCTTCCGTAATTTATTTATTTATTTATTTTTTTTTTTTATTTTTTTTTGTGATGTGTTTGAGTTCTTCAGCTGTCTTTTGCTGTTGTATGTATGTAGATATATTTTTTGGAGTAATGTTCATAATGATTGACCACTAGCTGTTCAGTTAGTAAAAGTTGCCAACATATGACAGTGCTTAGATTGCTTGCCAACAAAGTGTTCAAAGGTCCAAAAGTTCATTGGCTTTTGTTAGTCCTGCAGTAATATTCCTTTTTTTTTTTCCTAAAAAAAAGAAAAAGAAAAAAGAGCAATTGAATCAACCATCAGCATTTTTCTGCTGGTCTCTCATCTCCTTGGCTGTTACATGTCTTCGAATTTACCTCATATGGAGTACCTAGTCATGCATTAATGTATTGAACATAAACTGTGTGGCCTTTTACCAAACTTGCTCGCAGATCTTGGATATGCATTACAAGCAAGTTATTTAATTTTAGTAATAAACATTAGCATTTGAAGCCAGATTATCAGTTAGTAATATTATTAATGCATTAATAATATTTTCCACATTGACTTTTTTTGAGTACATTAGAAATGTACTAATAAAGAGTTTTGGCCGGCTTTTGGTTAACATGGGAAAGTAGTTATGTACTTCATCCGTTTTTTTCTTTAATCTCTTCCTCAAATTGTGTTTCAAGGAGCTATTAGTCAAGTAAAAAAGAATGGAAGGAGTATTATTCTATCTCAAAGATAAATGGGAAATGAAGAACTACAAAATTATGATATATGTGTCAAATGTAAAAGGGAGCCTAGAATCCCTTACTTGGATCCCTTTTAGTTATCTTTTCTTTAAATTACCGCTGATAACCCTCCTCTAAGGCAAGTCTTTCACCATCAGTATCTTGTAATTGGCATGTGTATTGAATGATACCCACACATTTTGAGGTTGGCAGCTGCGACGCCCCCAGGGGGGGGGATAATAATTTTTCTCCATCACTCTGCAAATCATATGCAGCATTTCTAGTTGTTGAACAAGAAGCTAAGGTTCGAAATGAATTTGGGTGCCTTTTTTACTCTTTTCATGGAGATATTGTTACCCTTTCTTTTCTCACTTAACACTTTTTTTGGATAGCAAGATAAAAGAGAAAGGAAGGGGAGGGAAGGAGGAGGAAGGGGAAGGAAAAGAAAGGGAGGGAGGGAGAAGGTGGAGCTCCATTTTCCCTCCAATTTTGGGGGGATGCTGTTCATTGAAGGAGGAAAACAGGATCCTCTCCCCTTCCTTACCCCACCCGTGACCAAACTTGGGCCCTTATTCTTCTCCCTTCCTCATTCTCAATTTCCTCTTATCCAAACAAAGTTTAAGTCTCTAATGTGACAAGGCATTTGGAAAATTTTCCTTGGGGCTTGAGGAGGTCCAAGATATACGCAGCCTTTCCTCTAACTAATAGGAGACTGCTAATGGGTAGTTGTATCTGAAAGTTCTGCACCTTTTACCTTGAACAGGGATGCAGTAATTTTTCTATCACCTTTTTCACTTGAATGGGGGAGGAGGGGGTCAAAGAAATTCATTGTCAAATGTGAATAGCAACCTTGCATTTAACTCAGACAAACCCTATAGACCCCTTTTTTTTCCTGGGTTTGGTTTATCATGATCCCTTTTTTCCCGGGTTTGGTTTATCATGACCCCTTTTTTTCCTGGGTAATTTTACATACCTGTATGACCCCTTTTTTTCCTGGATTTGGTTTATCATGACTATGGACTTATTTGGTGCCTTTGGTCCCTAGTTTTCTTGTTTGGAGTTATATTGGACTAAAACCTTGATGTACTAAAAAAAATCAAGATCAGGAAAGATTTCAAAATTTCTGGATTCATGTTTTAGAAAGAAGCTTTTACTAATTAGTTTCATAGAGACCCTAGACTTGTCTAGCTGTCTTTGAGTTTTGACTGAATTTGTTTTTCTGCTGGGGTATATTGTTTATACTAGTTAATTGTTCGACTGCTTTTTTTTACATGTGATCAGCTTTTCTATGGGAATTGCTTAACAAAAGGGGAAAATAGTTCTTTTGGGTGAATGGTATTCACTATAGAAAGATTCAAGCTACACAAATTTTGATCCATATTATACTTGCGATTTTTAGTACAACTGAATTGTTTCTCTGTTCATTTTGTTTTTGTAGTACATGGTGATGAAGGTGGATCCACTAGAGACTCGTTAGTATCCGAAAATTTGCCTAGGGATGGTGCTGAGTGGGTGGAGCTTTTTGTAAGAGAAATGGCCTCTGCTTCTGATGTAGAGGATGCAAGAACTTGTGCCTCAAGAGCTCTTGAGGCTTTTGAGAAAACTATATGTACTCATGTGAAAGCAGATGCTGCACAAAATTTCCAGCAGGTATTTTTTTGATGTCCATAAACTTTATAAGTCGGCAGGCTTGTCAGTTGTCATGGACTCATATATTGGAATTAACTGATAAAATTGTTAGATTGCTGTCATTTGCACCTTGTTTTATTCTTTCATCTCTCCATTTAACTTCTAGAATCAGTCAATGTTAGTGCTTGATTTTTCTATACAACGCAAAGTACAATCCCTTTCCCCTTCTCAAAAATAGCAGAGAAAAATGAAGGGTGGACAGATAGTGTTAGATGTAATTGTGCCATGCTTACATATTATGATACCTGCAGGAGAATTCAATGCTGAAAGAACAAGTTCAAGCTCTACTTCAGGAAAATGGAATTCTTAAACGTGCTGTGTCTATTCAACATGAACGTCAGAAAGAGTTTGAAGCCAAGTCACAAGAAGTGCAGCAACTTAAGCAGCTTCTGTCCCAGTGCCAAGAACATATAAGAACACTAGAGGTCAGCCTCAGAGCTTTGGTCATTTGGAATTATTTTAGAATTTTCTTGACCATGAGTGCCAAATACCATTTGATATGGGGTAGTACCAATTTTATCTTTTATTACGTAGATTTCTACATCTCCGCCTTTCTTATATCCTCATTTTTCCCTCTTAAGTCTAAATTCATCTAGAAAGTGGGCCTATTATGTTGAATGGTTTAAAACAGAAATTTAGCTGGATGGCCCCTTATACATGGACGGAAGTATTTTATGCCTTTATATTATTTTCCAACCTCTGAAGTTATTCTAATGCAATTTGATAGTTTATATTGCCCTAGGACATAATCCAACCCAGTCATACTATGCTGTGTGTACTACTTTGCTTTTGTCCTCTAAATCCTTCTCTATTTAACACAGTGGTATGAACTACTCTGTACTAGAAATGAACTATGTATGGTAGGTGAATTGACATTTTAGGAGTGAGGAACCCTTGCTCAATTTTTTTACTTCCTCATTTTTGAGGATTTTTTTATTTTATTTTATTTTATTTATTTACTACTCTATTACTCTACAATGTTTGCACCTTTTTCCTCCACCTTTCTCGTATACATACTCCTTTTATCTCACTTTACCCAATTTTTTTTATACCCACTCACCTCTCCTAGAAACAAGGGTCTAATGTAAACTGATACATAAAAATAAAAAAAAATAAAAAAAGAAAAGAAAAAAGGGAAAGATAATGACGGAGGGGGTATGTTTGCAAGAGGCACTGGGAGGAAGGTGGGAATCAGAATACAATTTGTCCAATATGTGTACATTGGATGAACTCTGAATTTGTCTTTCTTTGGATTCAAGAATTGGGATTGAGAATAAATGTTCATCTGTTGGTTGCAAACACCTCATCTTGCTGTCTGCAAGCTGCAACTACACAACACTGAATTTGTCAGTTTCTCTGCTTTTTGGTTGGAGAATTTTCCAATATCATAGCAGCTTTCCAAGATAAAAATTCCCACACTAGCTACCAGCCGAACCGCTGAAGAGTGAAGAACCTTCCGCAACTTCTGAATAATCTGAACTATCGCTTCACTATATTTACATATCTGCTCCTTTACTCAACACACACACCGTAAGGGACCTTAATATTTCATTCTTTTCCTCTAACAGAAAATCCCCCCCCCAACACACACACACACAAACAACACAAACACAAACGTTGATGTACCCATCCACTGGGGCAAATTGTGTCTAAGGGGCTCGTGATGTTCCTAATAAAGATGTGTATATTGTGTTGGTTCAATTAGTTGAACTGTCAGGCCTTGACTTTATTCTTTATTTGACTTAAATCCTCCCTCTGTAAAATTCTTGTTTGAGTCTCTTTGTATTGTTCAAGTCTTGGGAGATTGATCGATCATCTTCTGTTGAGCTTATCCACATGATTATACAAATAATGTTGTGTGTATTGCACAACATTCTGATTCTTTTTTATTTTTTAATGGTGTAGAACTTTTCTGGTTACCAATTCCGTAATTAGGGAATTTAGTTGAACTTTTCGATAATCTTGTCTTGTACTTCTGTATACTGATAGTCAATGTGCTGACTTGATCAGGTAAATAACTATGCTTTGGCGATGCACTTGAAGCAGGCTGAAGCAAATAATTCTATACCTGGTCGTTTCAATCCTGATATCTTCTAAGAATATGGCGTTGAATGGACATTGTAACTTAATGTATTGTCTTTGCAAGCTTTAGTTCCTTTCGGTCGAAGCATGCGGTCTGGACTGTTTTCAGATGTAGATTTAATTTATTAGATATATGAACCAAATATAAGGTATTACTCCGTAGTATATTTGATCGCTTGAAACCCACATTACAATGACTTGTACAAATTGTATTGCATTTTTGGTACTACATGTTATATACTTATATGGTTTGGATCTTGTATTTGGTGCAATATTATACTATACACTTTATAGCTTCCAAAACTTACAGAGCGATTTCCCTAAATAATGTTGAAAGAAATCAAAATTCCTTAAATACGCCCCTTTAAAGAAAATTCACAGTAGATCTGAGGAAGCTAAGGTTGATTGTTGGTTGTTTCCACCGCCCGATGCTGCTCATCGTCACCACTACTAGCGGTTTATTTAGCCCTAATTTATTGATGTGTAATAATTATATGAATTTGATTATTGCATAAATAACAGATCGTGTGCACCAAAAAAATATAAGTGAGATCGTGGAGTATTAATTTAGGTTCGTTTGCAATTGCTTGGGTTAAATACTATGATTTTTTTCATATGATAGAAACCGCTAATTGAATTAGCGGTTTCACAATTGCGAAAACCGTCAATTCAATTAGCGGTTTATTGGTGATTTATTAAATGTCCGTTGATGTGGACGGTAGTTTGAGAATTTTGTTAAAAAGGGGTATTTATATGGAATTTTGACATTTTCTAGCATTATTCATGGAAATCGCCCAAACTTATAGCCCGTTGTATAACCTTTTTTTTTTTTTTTTTTTTTTTTTTTTTGAGTTTAATAGGATAGAATAGAGCAGAAGTGGCACCTGCTCACTAGTTAAAAAGTTGAATCTCAAAGGAGATATGAAACTAAACCAAGGTATGAATCAATCGATGGAAAAATGTTATTGAAAGAGATGAGAATTACAAGAATTGGTGTATTCAAAAGTCATTGTTCGTGCCTTTGTGGCTCCACATGAGGATATGGGTGGTTTTGAGATAACAAGGCTCATGAAAATCAAAAGGTCCTAAGGGGATTTCGACCCCTAAAGACTCACGTACTGGAATTTGATCCCACAAACTAATTGTTGTACAATGTACTACGTAAGTCTTTACAGTTGGCTAAGTTTTGCTTGGTTATCATTTTCTATAATGATACTACATGCTTAGAGTCACCCCTGAAATATTTAAAGTTATCTTGAAATAGGAGTACAGTTAAATTACTTTACATTTGGAATACACAAAAGGTTTTGGAGATATATTGACCTAACAACTTCATTGACCAAGTCTACCAGCTCGAACTTTACAAAGCCTTATCCACAAACATTCATAAGGTCAATTTTACATGTACTTAACAATAAAAAGCTAAAATCTAAAACCTAGCATTAGCCAACTATATACCATGCACAACCTTCGAAGTTTTAGTGTTACAACGAGATTTCATCATAATCTTGAACTCATCAAAATTAACCATACCATCTCCATCAACATCTACCTTCTTAATCATCTCTTTACAATCTTCTTCCATATAACTCCCTTCTTTTAACCCTAATGAAGATAAAACTAACCCTAATTCTTCCTTTGTAATTAATCCATCATTATTTCCATCAAACACATTAAAAGCTTCCTTCAAATCTTCTTCATCATCATAATCAAAATCATTAACCTTTTTTTCTTCTTCATTTTTCTTCTCCTTCTTTCCCTTAACCAACTCATAATACAACTCTCTAAACTCACCAAGATCAACAAACCCATCTTTGTTAGAATCCAACTTTTCAACCAATTCTTCTACATCTTTTGTTGGCACAATCATTCCCATGTTGTTAAGTGATTCTTTGAGCTCCTCTTTAGTTATAAACCCGTCTCCATTCTTGTCAAACGTATCGAAAACTTGCTTTAGATCATCATCATCATCCTTGTTCATCATCATGTCCTTTGTATTCTCTTTAGGAGAAGAAATAGGTTGCAAGGGAGAAGTAGAGGAAGATAAGAAGGGTTTTTTGACATGTAACAATAATTTTTTAGGGCTTATTAAACTACTAATGAAGATAATTGATAATACTAATATGAGTATTGGTACAATCATTATTTTGGGTAAGATTTTTGTTTGGCAAATAGCAAAACAAAGAGAAACAAAGAGGGTGAATATATATAGAAAGTGGAGAATTGTGTAAGGAATTATTTTTTTTTAAAAAAAACCAAGTAAAAATAAAAATAAAAAAAGTTTGACACTTTTTGTTACTATTATATACAAGTAATTAAAGTGAAGGCACTACAAATTACGCGTTTGGTACGTGTGGACTTTTCGATGCCCTACAAACCGCGTTAGATGTAAATAATAATACTAGTAAATGACTAAATCAGTGCTTTTCTTTAGGCATGGCTTTCAAATAATAATACTAGTAATTGATGCTCATTGGGTCTACTATCTAAAATATCAGATCTTACCCTATAACAATAAATATACCTACATAAAAAATTGGCTTCTTTTATAACTTGAATTTTTGGATAATGTTTTCATATTTTATTTATTTATTTTTTCCGCTTTGTAGCTGTAAATATACCTACAAGATTAATAGTAGGGGTTAGTTTCAAGGCCGGATTAATAGATATTACAACAAAGTATAATAACATCGGCATGAGTCAACCTAATCAAAAAGAATGTATTTAGATGTTTAATTGTTAACTAATTATAGTCTTGTATTACGTGATTTAACTTTTTAAAGATAATTCAAAATATCGTTTTGTTTGGTGCAACTCTTATAATCATTTTTTATACACAAAACAGTTTTCTTCTTCAAGATTGTGTTACGTATGTGAGTGAAAGGAGGATTATATTGTACGTACTACGGTCCAACTGTTTAGGAAGATAGGAGTTTCTCCTTTACAACTTACAAGTACAACTTAAGTAGTACGGGTCGAAGTACTGGACAATTACTAAGCAACTAGACAATTTTTTTTTATAAAAAACAATTACTTGACCTTTTAACTTGTTAGGTGTGATTTAGGGTAATCATGAGATAACTCTTAATAATTGAAGTCATTATATATAACCACATGAAGTGTTGATAATTCAGGACAATAGAATAATAAGGTTGTTTATAATAATTGAAGTCATTATATTAAACCAGCTAGTCTTTATCCTTTCTTCAAATTTTGAATATGGAGCAAATTATTAGAGACGGAGAATGTACTATACAACTTATCTCGTAGATAAAAACGTTAATAATGAGATCACCATAGATCTTTGAAGTTTATGAGAATCCACTTATGATCATGCTACTAAAATTAAGAATGTATTACATAGTACATAGTTATTAAAGTATATTAGTCGATGCAATAACTCGGTTATAATTTTTCTGTCACAAAAAAAAAAAAAAAAAAAAAAAAAAAAAAAAAAAAAAAAGGAACTCGGTTCTAATTTCACTTAAGATTGTTTTGGCTCAAAATTGAACCATAGCCAGTAAATTGGATCGGACTTCAGATATGTGCTAGCCTAACCCAGTAGGTACTCTTTTAATTTTGGGCCTTGTTAGTCCTTCAAATTCTTGGGCCTTGTTAGTTTTCATACATTGGGCCTCTACATCATGGATGAAAAGTAGTAAGCCCAACATTATAAAGAGGTTGGGTACATTCTTTTGGCCCAATATTTAAATTTGTGTAATGCTATACATAACCCTTAGGATTACAAATAAGCATTTAAAATCTTTCCTTTTTTGGTATAAGTTTAAAAATGCATGACAAAATCACGCGCAAATTAGTGTAATTAATGAACATATTTCATTAATACTTTTCTCTTTTAGTTTCTTATACATAGCCCTTAGAGCTTCATATAGCATTTTCCTTAAAAATTTTATCCTAAATTTTTTTTAGAAGCATCAAGCATGTTGGCAGTTAGTTTAGTTTCTATGCCAAACATTGAACAAACTTCATCGCAAATCACCTGCAACAAATTAAGATTGCGGAAAAGCAACCATAAGTTTGTCAAATTTGACAAAAATGTAGCAATTGTAATTTGTAAATGCTAATTTAATCAATTACGAGTATATTTTATTTTTAAGCTTTCAATTGTCTCGTACAACTTGTCGATTTGCAAAAATAATTAAATAATTAAAAGATGATACCTCAATCCCTTTACTATATTTTAAATAAAATAAAAATGTTGTAAAATTGAGTTCACAAATGATTTGATTGTAAATGCTGTTCATCAACTGACTTCTTTTATCGATAGTATTATTTTATAACGAAGTTTGTCATTTGACTCATTTTTCATTTTCTCTCTACTATATTACTTAATGATGCTATTTTACTTTTTTAACGTTTCAAGTGTCAAAAAATATATTTTTGCATTAATTTTTTTGTAAAAAATATAGGCAAATAAAATTGGATCGTGATCCAAAATTTTAATTAAAAAAATAATTTTAAGAATTACATTATTGGTGTTTTTGGGCCCAAATATATTTTAACATATACACAAATCCCTTTTTCCGTAGGTGGGGCTTTTGTTCTATTTCCACGCTCCCGCATAGATCCAACGGCTAACAACGGCCCACCAACTATTTTCCAATTATTCCTTGCTTATATTTGTACAATCATAATTTTTTTTTTGTAAAAAAAAATAATTTTTTTGGGTTTTTTTTTTTAATCATTTTGATAGCATATAAATATTTTTGGTTTTAGAAAAAAGAATGTGGGGTTTTGCTGCCGTGAACAGACTGTCGTGGTGGCCCATGACAATGACCCCCAAACGGAAACAAACAAACTCCGTCCCGTTCTAAGCTACCTTGTTACACTTTGATTCTCTTTGGAGTTTATCTTTCATTTTACAAACGTCTACCAATTAAAATTAAGCGGCCAACACAAGGCTGGCCCGTTATGCTCGTGTCCGGTTCGTGTCAAAATTTAAAATGGCTGTCCATGCATAGCTGATTTCTTATAAGTGTATCTCTCACGTTGTGTCAGACTTGAAATAGACTCGTGTAAAATTGGGTCATTTTCATTTCATGTCATTCATGACCGAGTCGTATATAGTTGTATTGGCTTAAGCCAGCTCATGCACAGTTTTACTCAGGGGCGGATCTTGGTTAGGGCGTGTAAGGGCCCGGCCCCCCTTAAATATATTTGAGTTGTTGATTATATGTATTATGATGTCTAATAATTACAAATAAAATGTTGTGGCATAGTGGTTAAGTATTATATTTTTGTACAAAAGATTGAGGGATCAAACCTTGGCCCCCTTAACTTTTTGGCCCAAGATCCGCCACTGATTTTACTAACATGTTCCGCTTTAATTTATACTAATCTGTATATTCTAACTCAATAGCGATTGACTTGTACTCTATGAGACCAGTGATAAGTAATTAAGTAGCATGTACATCTAGTAGTATTTTATTATATTGCATGAAAATTGAAGAGTTTGCATTATTTATTTTTCCAAGTGTTGATGATATATTATTGTTTGAATTTAACTTCTAGAGTTCTTGTCCAAAAAAAAAAAAAAAAAAAAAAACTTCTAGATCTAAAAACGTAGTCGTAGGCTCATAGCATGGTAGGGCAAAGGAAATACGGTTATTTTAAAACTACAATGATTACGTATATAACATTTATTTTTACACAATAAATAAATATAAGATTGCTTTCAGAATTGAGAATCCTATCTTCTAATGTACTTGTGTCGTACTCAATTTAAGAAATCAACAACTTGGATCTCTCGTCACCGTTAACTGTTATAGATAGGACTGATTTTTTTATTTTCCTGCGAAATATCATGATGTTATCAATGAACTAGATTAAGGTGTATTCTTAAATGTGGAATTTTGAAAAAGTTACAAAGAATAACCATAAATGATGAGCTTGATATACTAAGCTAGTACGTACTTTCAACTAAAGCTTTTTTTTTTTTTTTTAAAAGAAAAAGTAGTACATAAACTACAAGAATATACTAGTATGCATAGATTGATCGAAATACTAATGACGATGGAACTTAAAGAGGTTCAAATGTATACAATTACTCCTTCACTCAAAACTTATATGCAAGCTAAGTTAATACTCATTAAACAAATTTGATTGAGTTACTTTTCTCGTTATGGTTTAAAGATAGAATTTCACTTGTGTCGATGAGGTGGTCTAAATATTCGCATTCCTCCATAAGCGAATTCATAGTTCATCGCCATTTATGTGTCGATAAGGTAGGTGGTCTAAATATTCGCATTCCTCCATTAGTGAATTCATAGATCATCGCCATTTTAAATTAATCTCTTCTAATAGTTTAATATTTGAATCGAAGCTTGCTTGCTACACCATGCATATCATGTGCTACGTTGATTCAATATCCAATATCATGAAAAAGAAGGTTTTATCATTATCAAGCTTCATTTAAGAGTAGCATAATTATTTGTGAATTGCAATACAATTAGCACAAAGTTGTATAAACTACCACGCATAATTATTTTTAAAGACTAGAAAATATTGCCGAATAAATCATTTTTTCACGTGAACCAAACTATATACAATAATATTTCAATATGAAAAAATAAATAATAATGCACGTATGTAGTACGTACCAAATCTGAGAAATAATTGCATGAGTTGCGCTATATTTGCATGGGCCAAGCGCATTAATAGTAAAAAGCTAACAGACTCATGCATGGTGATGAAATTTAAGGAATCTACACATCCGTACTCTGCCAGCTAGAGTTAGCTACTCCCATCATTTTGCCATTATAGTACTAATATAGCCAAACCAATTGTTGAAAAAAAACTAAAAATTTTAAAGTTGATGGATTAGTCATTTGATGGATTCCCTTGGAGTTAGCTACGTTAAATCAATGTGGAGCCTCCTTTTTACATCTATATATTTCGCGACACATAATAATAAGTTTAAATAGATAAGTACGTAAATAGTAGTCGTCGATTAGTAGTAGCAGCAGAAACACCTCTTCAGAATCAGATCACACTCATACACTGATTCATTCATAATTCAAAGTCATGCTTCTTGTTTTGTGTCTCTTTCTCTCACTCTAATAGAGAAAGTACACTGATTTTGCACACGAGGGCATGTTTGGCCTTTAATTTGGGTCCTAGTATAAGATAAATATTTTCTTCCTCCTATCAAATCATCTACATATATACATGTGTAATGTTATGTTATTTCAATCTTTATCATAAATAACAATCATCCCTACTATTCAATTATGTCATATCAATGGGGCAACCCTCCTTTTATATTACTT